GAGGGGAGTGGGGCCGCACAGCCCCTGCCAGTGCCTGAGGCTGCAGCCTGGTGAGTGCTTTTGCTTCTGCTTCTCCACGCTGGTGGTTCGAGATGGTCCCAAGCCCCACTGGGGCAGGCCCTGCCTTGCCCTGCAGAGGCAGGGCGGCTCCACTTCCCCATCCCCTCCCCCATGGGCTGCAGGGGCATTTATGAGGCCCAACAGGTGGCACTGTGGCGCTCCTTCCTCCCTGTCTCCGTGGCTCAGAACCAGGTTAAGGATAGAGGTAGATGGGCTGATGTGGGGGCCACACTGTCTCCGGTGGCAGTGAGGGAGCTTGGGACCCTGAGCGGGGCATGCTGACTCCTTGCTGGAGAAAAGGCACCTAGATAGGGAAGCTGGGCTTGGGAGCCTCCCAGGGGGTCCTGGGGTAAGGTGGGGATGGTGGCTGAACGAAGCAGGAAGCAGGGTGGTGGGCAGACCCCAATCCTGGTTCCCAAACCCTCACCGGCTGCGGGAGAAGGAGGAAGAAAGGAATCCTGGAGCAGAGCCCTGCCCTGGGCCCCTCCGCCTGAGCAAGCCTCATCCCCTTCCCACCTGGCCCCCACGCAAGCCCAGCTCCACCTCCTTCCCATCTTCCCCCTGCCGGCTCCAGGCCCTCCGCAGAGGGGGTGGAAGGTTGCAGAGGCCTCAGGCCGTCTTGGTGCCGGGGTCCACCTCCTTGTGGGCCCAGAGCTCCTTGTGTTGCTTGCGGCCAAACCCCTCGTCGTAGTTGCCTTTGCTCTTAAACAGCTGCTGGAAGTGGGGTTTGCAGTAGAACTCCCCGTGCAGCGCGGCATAGCTGCCCAGGCTGCAGAAGCCAAACGGCGTCAGGTCAGGCCAGGTCGGGACTGGGTTGGCAGGCGAGGCGGGGGCGGGCAGGGCAGGGGCGCACCTGAGCTTGGTGTGACAGTGCTTGCAGCAGAAGCAAGAGTTGTGGAAAATGAGCTTGTCAGCCACCAGCCGCTCCATGGGGTACACGGTCTTCTGGCAGGCGGCGCAGGTCTCCTTCACCTGGGCCCGCAGGCTGAAGGACTGTGCGGGGGGCTCAGCCAGGTGCTGCCCCAGTGCCCATCCCGCTCCCTCACACCCCTCCTCCCGCACACCGGCCCCAGGCCCCTACCTTGGAGCGCTGCACCGTGCTGCTGCCGCCGCCTTTGACGTCCTGAGGGAGAGGGGCGGTCAGGGCAGGAGCAGCTCCGGGAGGCCCTGGACCAGGGCTGCAGCCATCAGCCCAAGGCCTAGGGACGCGCCGCAGGGGGCAAAGGGGGCCGGCAAACTCTGGAGCCTCTCCCCTTTTCCCCAGGCCAGGCTCCCGTCTGGCGGGTCCTCCCACCCGGCCGGGCACTTACATGAGAGGGGGTGGCCTGGGCGGCTCCTGCAGCCTGGAACATGGCTTGTTGGAGGTGGAAGCCTCGGGTGGAGACGCGGCAGCACCCGCTGGGTTCTGCAAGGGGAAGTCAGTCGGGAGGGCCCCGCCAGTCCGGCCCCAGCCTGCAGGGTGGGGGGTGTTGACAGGCAGGGGCTGGGGGGATTGCGGTTGGGACTTTCCCTAAGTCATTTCCTGTTGCTCTTGGTCTTGCCACTTCCGCCCCTCCCCCACCTCCCCCACCCCTGCTCCCCAGAGGCCGGGGTCCCGAGTGGCACCGTCCCTCGGAAGAACAAAGTTAGCGGGAGCTGAGGGGCCGCGGGCTCCCGCGCAGCCGCCGTGTGCGCCCCGCGGGCGGGGACCCCGCTTGGCGCGAGGGGAGGTCGGGGCAGGCGGGGCCGCGATGAGAAGCCGCTGCCCCGACCTGACCCCGGCCCTCACAGCCCCGCGCCGCGCCCGGGCGTCCAGGCCTCGGCTGGGCAGCCCCTGGACAGCGCCCGAGGTCCCCGCCCGCCCCGCCCCTCGGTCCCGGACCTGGCCCCGCGCGGACCGGACCCCAGACCCCGACGCCGCGAACCCAGCCAGCGGGTCTCGGCTCCGCCCAGCCGGGGGCCGGACCTGAAGCGAGGACTCGAGACTGTGCGCCCCGGGCCAGAGCGGCTCGCGGACTCGCTGGGACCCCACGGGTGGCCCTCACCCCACACCCCTTGGCACCTCCCCTGGTTCCGGAGCCGGACGCGGCCCCTCCCCCCGCGGCTCTCACCAGGCCCGGCCTGGGCCGCGGGGCGGGATCTGTCTCCGGGGGCGCACGGGTGCGATGAGGGCGCGGACGCGAGCTACCGCCGCTGCCAGTGGTCCCCGAGCGGCCGCCGCCGCCACCGCCTTATCGCTGCGCCGCCCCCGCCGGCCCCCGCCCCGCGCCCGCCCATTGGCTCCGCCGCGCCCGGAGCCGCCTCCGGGGCCCGGGCGCCGCCGCCGACCCCCCTCCGCGCTTTGTCTTCCCCTCGCCGCCGTCCCCGCCTTTGTCTGTCCCCCGCTCCGGCTCCGCGCTCCCGGCTCCTCAGCGCCCCGCGGGCCCCGCGCTCGCATGCCTCGGGCACCGGCCGCGCCGTCTGTCCATCCCGACGGTGACCCGGCGTGGGGAAACGACGGTGGCGGGGACAGGATGGAAGGGCCGCGCTCCGCATCCCACGGGGAGGGGAGGAGTTCAGGCTGCGACGGCTGCGGTCGCAGGACACCGGGCACTCCCGGCCTGTCTCCGGGATAACCGGGCTGGGCCTGGGCCATTCACTGCTTCGGTTTCCCCCGGGTGGCCTCGCGCGCAGGCGCAGGCGCCCCATTCCCGCCCAGAGCTTTGGGGCCTCGGAGACCCAGCCGGGGCGACCCTGGAGCCTGGCCCAGGGTCCCTCGGGCCGCCGAGTCCTCCTGCCGCCAGGGGCCGCCCCCGCCCTCTTGCGGCCCACGAGGCTGGAGGCAGCGCCCGGGCACGCGGTCCCCAGGCCCGGCCGCGAGGCTGCGGGGAGCCTGGGGCGCTGGCTCGCCGCGGAGCCTGCACGAGGACCCGGCGGCTCCACCAGCCCTTGGCGCCTCTGCCACCCTGTGACGGGCTGGGGAGGCCGCTATGCGTGGTTCCCGGAGCACCCGTCCCCTGAGGCTTCAAGTCCTCACGTGTTTCTGGGGCGCAATTCTGTGGGCAGCAACCGCGACCCGTGGGGGCCGCCCCTCCAACAAGCGCGCTTCATTTCTCACGGGGAAGCCGCGGCCCAGAGAGCTGAGGTGACAGAGATCGGGCCGCAGAGCTGCTCCCTCCCTGCAGCCGCACAGCTGAGGTGACAGAGATCGGGCCGCAGAGCTGCTCCCTCCCTGCAGCCGCACAGCAGGCCAGAGGCATAGCAGGCGAGAGACAGAAGGCGAGGCCGGCGCCTTCCCGGGCACCAGGGACCGAGTGGCTTGGCCTGAAATCAGGCTAGAAGCTGCTCCGGGAAGCACAGCCCTGCGCCCAGAGCCTTCCCACACTGTGGCAGGAATAGCACTGGCGGCCCACGCGCTTGACAGGGAACAGAACAGCTCCCGCCCGATGCCTGGCAGGGGAGCAGAGAGGCTGCAGCTTCCCCAGCGCCCAGCTGTTTCCCAGGCTGGCGGGCTCCACGCACCGGCTCCGTGTCTCCTCTCCAGCCTTCTGTTCTCTCTAGAGGAAGATCTGCGTTTTGCCTGCACTGTGGGCCGACTCTCTAGTGGGGAGTGTCAGACCCTCTAAAGTGGCTGCCTCTCGGGAAAGCTTCCACACCTGTCCGATTCTCCAAAGGGGCTGCTTGATGCAAGAAACAGGAAGACCGGGGGGCACCATGAGCAGGGCTCACTGCCACTGGGCACAGTGAGGCCCCAGCATCCTGCCCAGGACGGGCCTGTGGGCTGAGCTGCAGATGGGCATTGAGGATGCCCCGAGAGCAAGGTGCAGAAGGCATCCGGAAGCAAAGGAAACTGATAACCAGCGTTAAAAAAAACAAACAAACAAACAAAAAGGGAACTTGGCTCAGCGGTGGCTCACGCCTTTAGTCCCAGCACTTTGGGAGGCAGAGGCAGGCAGATCACAAGGTCAGAAGTTCGAGACCAGCCTGGCCAACATGGTGAAATCCCGTCTCTACTAAAAATATGAAAATTATCCAGGCATGGTGTGTGTGCCTGTAATCCTAGCTACTTGGGAGGCTGAGGCAGGAGAACTGTTTGAACCTGGGAGGTGGAGGCTGCAGTGAGTCAAGATGAAGCCAGTACACTCCAGCCTGGGTGACAGAGCGACTCTGTCGGGTGGGGGGGCGGCAGGGCAGGGCGAAGGGAACTTGAGGTTTAAAGCAGGGGGAGGAGGACCGGAAATGAGGCCCCCTACTCCTCACTCACTCACCCCAGGCCCCATCCTAGCCCAAGGTGGGTGTCATTCCCTTCACCTTAGCCTCTCACTGCCCAAACAAGCTTACTTTTCTTCTTTAAACTGCTGTTAAAATTGGGGAGGAAATGGAAAGCAAGGGCGTCTGACAGTTCAGAGCAGCTTTAGGTTAGAGGGCATTTGAGGTGCCTGAGCTGGGGGAGGGCCTTCCCCTGAGAGACTGGGAGAAGGGTAAGCCGTGTGCCCTGGAAGCACTGCAGGGAGACTCGTATTTGCACCCCCTTGCTCACACTCACTGGCGCCAGCCAGGATGGCAGGGACGGGCGGGGCTGGTTCTTAGGTTTCCTGCTCTTTGGGTGCTAGCACCCAGGGTAAGGAGACACCCAGGTCAGGTTGCAAGACAAACCCTTCTACCTCCTTTCCTGCCAAAGGCCGCCAGCATCCTCTGCCTCAATCTCAATCTTTGGACATTTTTAGCTCCAAAGTGGTTTGATGGCCACAGGCTAAAATTCATAGTCTTAAAATTTTAGTTAGAGACAGATCTGTTATGGGTTTTCAAATAAACTGGTCTATCTAATGAAAGAGGTCACTGCTGAGCTTCCGTGAGCACCCATGGGCCTGCTCTTGGATGGCGGGACGACTCTCACCTGGGGCAGCACGGCCATCCCTGCAAGCACACACACCAGGAAGCAGCCTGTAGCCCCTGCGCTGATGCAGACACAATGCCATTCTCCAGCAGGGTCTCTGGAAATTTTAATTTGTTCTGATAACGAAACTAACACAGCATAAGGACTTAAGCCCTCAAGCTAGGCAAGACACTGATGGCCCTTGGAGAAAGCACCAGGGCAGCTGGCAGGAGGCGCTAAGATAGATTCTTGGTGGGAAAGGAATGAGGCACACACATAAACCGTGGGAAAGACTTAGGTGTCAGGGCCCAAGCCAGAAAAGGGATAAGGATGGACTGTCCCAGCCTTAGTCCGTGCTTAAACAGACAGAAATACCCTTCTCTGGAATTATGAGGGAGAGGTCTGGGGGAAGGGAGGCAGGTAGCTTACTACTTGCCCTTTCACTGACCTATAGGATCTGAGAGCAAAGTTAAGTAGAATGAGGCTGGTCGCAAGCATTGGGAAGAGGTGGCGGTCCTCAGGGTTAAGGAGTCAAACCCTGGGCTTGGAATTCGGCTCCCAGAGCTAGAGCAGCATCTCTTCCTTCTGTAGAGGAGGTCACCTGAGCTCATAGGACTGGGAATGTCGGCTTTGGACCCTCTTGATCCCTGCTTGTTGAGATTTCCTTGTGTCCCAAAAGCCTTGGAGCAGTGAAGTGTCTCTCCAGGATTTCTTTCCCAATCAGTCAGCAGCCAACTTTCCTGGAAGAATGTCCTTTCTACCCAATCTGCCCAGGAGGGCGGGAATGTGGCCAGCCCTCAGGAAGGGCCTCTGCGTCCCTGGCTGGAGAATGCGCACAGTTTGCAGAGGCTCAGAACTCCCAATCATCCACCTCCAGCTCTTCCAGGTTTGTTACCAGGCCAAAGATTCCACTATGGTCCTGAGACTGGCTGCTCTCAAAATTGGTGATGGGGGTGACAGGACGAAGCAATTCAGGCAAAGCCTCTGAGGCACGTCGCTTGATCTGGGGGAGAAGAGAGAGGTGGGTGACAGATCCTGTTGCTCTGGGTCCCAGGACACCATGGGGCAAGGACCCATGGCCTGGTGGCAGACGGGCTGTCGGAGCCAACTCTACGAGAGGAAGGAGCAGTGCCTTTCAGGGGCTTCGGAAGCAGGGTAATTTCTCTCATTCAAAGGGAGGGGAAAGAAAGCTAAAGGGATTGTGAGTCATTAGAACCAGAATGACTAGAACCAGAACCAGAACGAAGGGGCTACGGTACCTGCTTGAAGAAAGAGTGGTTCAGGAGGGTGCTGGCACTGGGCCTGGAGGGAAAGGGGAGGAGAGACCACAGCGTCACTGCCGTGTCCCCAGCTTCCTGAAATCCTGCCACTTATACCTCAGCCTCAGGTCCCCTCTCCCTCTCCCTCAGCTCATGGGAAACAGTAGCCAGAGCTCCCCAAGCTGGCCTCTGACACACCCAGGAGCTGATCCCTCCTGTATGTAGCTCCAGATTCCCCTGCAGAACCTTTGAGAGGTGCATCCCTTCACACCCTGGCCTTACCCTCCTGAGCACCCTCTGCTCTCCCGAAGCCCAGACCCAGGCCAGCAGGAATACCTGGCATCCGGGTTGCGCTGAAGGCACTGCTCCACAAAGTGGTGGAAGTAGGGGGAGAAGGTTCGGTGGTAGGGGTGGGAAGGCGAGTCGCCATTGGAGGGCCGTGGGGTGCTGGTGGTCAGGCTGTCACTCAGGCCAGAGTTGGCCACTGAGCGCGAAGGGCTCATGGTCAGCTCCTCGGCAGGGATGGTGCTGGTATCCAACAGGCAGGGCACTGTGCCGTTTAGTTTCTCTAGCAGCATCTGGGGAGGACAGAACCAGGACCTGGGCTGGAGGGGGGTCCCTGGAAGGCCTGAGTCTCTTCACAAATACACTTTTCCCAATATACAAATGTGATCATTTGAGAGCAGAAAAAGATGGAAGTGGAGTAAGTCCAATTTTCCCAAAGAAACGCTGGTCACTGGCATGGCAGGTCCGCCCTAGCCAGGCCAACGTGAAAGGAGAGGGGTTGCACAAAAGTACCCGCTTTTTGCCATGGCTGGAAAGCAGGGCTCACAGTTTCCTCTCCCTTTACAAGGCATCAAATTCCTTTTACTGTAGAGTCCTCACCCTAGAGGGGAGGAGCAGCCAGATGAACCTGCTTTGAAGCGCAGCTGTCTGCCATGCCCAGGTGGATCCAATGAGGTCTGAGAGGCAGTCCCTGCAGTGCCACAGCCTGGGCTGTCACTGCAGCAGGCCACACGGGAGCAAGATGCCCAAAGGGAGGCCAGGCTGGGGTGGCTGTTCCAAAGTACCCTAACTCAACACATAAAACCAGCCCCATCTGGGGACTGTTGTCCTCGTGGAAGTCCTCATGACCGCATAAGCTGTCCAAGCCAGAAACCTGGAAATTGCTCTAGAGCTGCACTAATGTGAGAGCCACTAGCCACTTGTGGCTATTTCGATTTAAATGAGGTTTAAAATTCAGTCCCTCGGTCTCACTGGTCACCTTCTAAATGCTCGACAGCCACACAGTCTCATGGCTGCCACGCTGGACAGTGCAGCCACAGAAGCCCTCCTTCACTGCAGCAAATTCTAGTGGATGGTGCTGCTTCTAGGCCTGGACTTCTTGTTTACCCTCAGTCACCTTTTAATTCTTTCCTGAGCATCCTCTGTCACTGAAGTATTTTACTGAGATCTCCTAGATTCCTCACACAGACTTCCATACCCTGCTAACTGATCTACTGGATCTAATCCATCTGCTGGGGTGATCTCTGTAAATGAGCTATCTTATGCTGTCACTCCTGTGCTTACAATCCTCAGTGCTGCTCCACAGGCTTTAGGACAGGAACCAGTGCTCTGAAGTGGCATCAAAGCCCTTCACAATGTACCCTTGCTTCCTTCTGCAGCCTGTCACCTGGCAGCCCCCAAGAAGCACTGCACCTTGGCCATTTACACCATTTACACCTCCTTGCTGTTCTCCAGATCCTGTGTTTTCTAGACTCTGGGTCTCTGCACATTCTGCTGTCTGCCGAGAACAGTGTCCTAGTTCCTCCTCCACACAGGTGACTGCTGTCTGCCTTCCAACTCAAGGCTGCCTCCTCCCAGGACCTCCCTGGGCCCCTGCTCTGTGGAGCTGCACTCTGGCCACCATCCAGCTGCCCCTACCACCGGGCAAGCAGCCTGTGGGTTCCGGAGTGGCTTACTCAGAGCCTGCACCCTGCCCCTCCCAGTTCTAGGCCATACTCCAAGTACCTGGGACCCAGGTAATCCTTGCCCAAATGACCCCAAATCCATTTTCTGGATTTAATGAGGCTTGGATAAGCCTCTTCCCTGGGTCTGTTTTCCCAAGGGTAGACTGTGCCACTGACTGTGCACCCTTGGATCCGAGGGTGGCCAGAGGACAGGCATCTGGAGGGGCATGAACAGAAGCTGAACTTACAGAATGGGGGTTCCAAAGGTGTTGGCTGAAATGTGGTTGGCATGGAACTCTGAGAACTGTGGGAATTCTAAATTAGAAACTGACCTTTCAGGTATATTTATCCAAGTAGGAGGATAGAACATATTTTATACATTTATAAAAACTGGTTAGCTTAATGTATATGTTTTAAATAGACATGTAGCATGTGGGCCTCCATTTGCACCCCGTTCCTGGGATCGCCTCCCCAAGCTGGCCTCCCTTACCACCGCATTTGTCACAGGAAGTAAACAAAGAGTGAGTCCACCATCCCCCACTGGGTGGGACTTCTTGAAGGAAAAGACAGGGTCTTTCATCTTAGTATTCCTGGTCTGTGTCCTGAGTGTGAGAGACACTCAATGAACATCTGTGGAAGGCAGGCAGGCAAGAAGGAAACCAATGGGCGGCAGGCTTACCTGGGTGGCAGGCATATCCTTAAAGGGGACGTGGCCGTTTGCCAGTTCACAGGCTGTGATTCCCACACTGTAGATGTCAGATTTGGCATCATAACCCTGGAGATTCTAAGCCAGGAACAAAAAGCCACAGATGACCCCATTTGGTCTTTGTTCTTAGAAAAAGGGTAGAACTTAGGAGAGGAAAAGGATGGCTGTCTCCAAATCAGGACCCGCTGCTAATGACTCACCTTGCCTGTGCTACTGAAAACTGCTATTTTACCACCTGCAACTGTTTGGCGATGCTCTGTAAGGAGCTGAAGTGCCAGCCCTAGGTTCCTGCTTAGCACAGGGATCCAGAGAGCAGCAAATATTTCCAAAATGCTCACCCTTCTAATAGGGTGCCAAGGGTCCCTAAAGGGAGCTGAAATAGCATCCAGTAGAGGTTAGGACCCCCTGGGAAGAACCACATCCATCTGCAATGGACAGGCGCTGCCCACGCTGAGGGCTCCCTACCTCCAGGAACCCCTTTACCCCACTGGGAGGTTGAGAGCCCCCGACCCCAGGCAATGCCTGAACGCTCCCTTGGGAATCATGAGTTGGGTAGGGGAGCTCCTCTGGGCCCATGCACAGACCTGCTGGAGGACCTCGGGGCTGAGCCACGGCAGAACCTTGACACTGTACTTTGGAAAATCGTGGACCACTCGCTGCCGCTGCCCATGGCTTATCATGCTGAGGTTGCTGCGCAAACCAGACAGGTAGACCTTCCCATCCAGAGAGATCAGGATGTGGCTGGCTTTGACACTCCTGGGGAAGCAGGGAGGGTGTCATGGAGAGCAGGAGCCCCTCCTGCTACAAACTTTTGGTCTTCACACGCTCCACCCGGCCAGCTGTCTCCTGTGTGCATGGGTTATACATGTATATGTGTATTTTACATATACATAACCATGTTTTTGTTTTTATTGAGATAGAGTCTCACTCTGTTGCCAGGCTAGAGTGCAGTGGCTCAATCTAGGCACACCGCAACCTCTGCCTTCTGGGTTCAAGCAATTCCTATGCCTCAACTATCCAAGTAGCTGGGATGACAGGTATGCACCACCACGCCCCGCTAAATTTTTTTTTTTTTTTTGAGATGGCGTCTCTCTGTCACCCAGGCTGGAGTGCAGTGGCGTGATCTTGGCTCACTGGAAGCTCCGCCTCCCTTCTGGGGACAAACACTCACACTACCCCTAACCAACACACATGTGAATGGTGACATCCACACATGTCCCCTGATGGGTCTGCATGAGGGTTTCTTTAGGGTGTACATCCAGAAGTGGCATTGAGGGTTCTGGTTCCACAACCCTGACTGGCAGCACTAGCCATCGTCCACCACCTGGAGAGGAGGCTCCCTGTCCTTGCCACACTGGGACCCGCCCATCCTCCCACCCACTGCCAGGCTCATGTGCATAAGGTGACATCTTGTTTTTCATTTGCTTTTCTCTGATTGAAGATTTGGGTGGCTCTTCCCATGATGGGCTTGTCTTGGGGTTTCCTCTTTTGTAGACTTCTGATCTTTGACCCATTTTTCTTGCTTTGCTGTCCATTTCTTGTTGATTTGCAAGATTTCCCTGTTACTAATCTCCTGTGTTGACAAAGCTCATATCATCTGGTCTGTCACTTGTTTCTTCACCTTTTTCACTGTATCTTGCATTGGATAGAAATCTTCTTGATCTAATCAAATTCATCAATCTTTTGTCTTATGTTTTGTGCTTCTAAAATGTTGAGAAATTATTATATGCCTCAGGTCACAAAAACATTTTCTCACATTTCCTTCTATTTAAGTCTGTAGTTTTACGTTTTACATAGAAGCCTTTAATCCAGCTGGAGTCCTCCTCTGTGTGAGGAGTTAGGTAGGGGTCCAGTTTCACCATTTTCCCTACTATGAGCTGATCTCCTGACACCATCTACTAAGCTATCTGTCTTCGCCCTGGTCTCTCAGCATAAGACTGACTCTGGGGCACAGAAAGAAGGAGGCAGAGGGTGGAGTACAAAGGTCCACACCAGATGTTCCTCTCACACAACACTCAGGACCACGCTGCTCAGCAAAGAGAAAGTCAGTGGCTTCAGCATTAACAGGCTGAAGCCTGTTAGACCATCCCCCAAGTCAGTGGCAAGGTCAGAATCCAGATCCTCCTTCTTTTTTTTCTTTTTTTTTTTTAAGATGAAAGTCTCACTCTGCCACCTAGGCTGGAGTATAATGGTGTGATCTCCAATCACTGCAACCTCCGCCTCCTGGGTTCAAGCCATTCTCCTGCCTCAGCCTCCCTAGTAGCTGGGACTACAAGCGTGTGCCACCACACCCAGCTAATTTTTGTATTTTTAGTAGAGACAGGGTTTCACTATGTTGACCAGGCTGGTCTTGAACTCCTGACCTTGTGATCCACCCTCCTTGGCCTCCCAAGCGCTGGGATTACAGGTGTGAGCCACCACGCTGGGCCCTTTTTCTTTTCAGAGCAAAGAGATCCTCAGCAAGAATCCAGATCCTTGATTTTAAACTCTGGCTTCATTAACTTTAGTCAAACTTCACCTGTTTACCTGAAGGCTCAGGGGCACAGCTACCCACTCTAATCATGGGAAAGGCCGCCTAAGAACGCACCTGTGTACATAGCCCATGTGGTGGATGTAGTCGAGGGCCTTCAGGACCCCCTGCAGAATGTAAGCGATCGCCAGCTCATTCATGCCATCCATGAAGTGTGTACAGATGAGATCCTTTGCAGAACCTGGAGAAAAGAATTGCACGGAGGCAGTGAAAGGTAATGGAGGAGGAAAACAGGCAATCTGACAACAGAGTCCCAGTAACCCCTTTCTACCAAGAACCCTTTCCCACTCACCATATGCCATGAATGATGTGACAACCCACAGCTCATTGTCTGCAATAAAAGTGGCTCGATATGGCACAATATTAGGATGGTTGAAGAGTTTGGAGACATGCAGCTCGCCCTGGAAGCAATGATGAAGCTGAAGTCAGAACCAAATGGCCCTGAAGGATGCCGCTCAACACGAAGGTGCCAGCATGGACAACAGGGGGACCTGGCACTTTCTGGGTGTTCTCAGAGTCCTAGGAGCAGCCTAAGCAGGTGCCTGTCAACATAGGAAAAACAAGGCCCTGCTGCCCCTGCAGGGACCCAGCACTGCTTTGCCTCTGCCAAACAGGGAAACTGTCAACAACAGAGGGTGCCAGCACACCGACTCAGAGATGATGAAGGCAAACTCTTGACTGAAGACTTCTGAAGTTACAAGCTTATCTCAATTTCAAGGGTCAACGTACAGAATTCCTCTTTAAGATAAGAAAACAAAAAATATTTTGTTGTTGTTATTTGGAGAGACAAGGTCTCACTGTGTTGTTGCCCAGGCTGGTCTCAAACTCCCAGGCTCAAGCAATCCTTCTGCCTCAGCCTCCCAAAGTGCTAGGATTACAGGTGTGAGCCACCAAGCCACTGTACCTGGCCAAAAATGTTTTTCTTTTTTCTTTCTTTGAGACAGGGTCTTGCTCTGTCACCCAGGCTGGAGTGCAGTGGTGTGATCTTGTCTCACTGCAGCCTCAACTTCCCAGGCTCAAGTCATCCTCCCACCTCAGCCTTGCTGGTGGCTGCGACCACAGGTGGACGTCACCATACCTAGCTAATTTTTTGTATTTTTTTGTAGAGACAGGGTTTCGCCATGTTGCCTAGGCCTGCTTTGGCCTCCCAAAGTGCTGGGATTACAGGCATAAGCCACTATGCCCAGCCCAAAACTATGTTTCTATTGTAAAAGAAAACATGGCCGGGCATGGTAGCTCACGCCTGTAATCCCAGCACTTTGGGAGGCGAGGCGGTGGATCACTTGAGCCCAAGAGTTGAAGACCAGCCTGGGCAACATGGCGAAACCTCATCTATACTAAACATGCAAAAAATTATTTGAGCATGGTGGTGCACGCCTCTAGTCCCAGCTACTCTGGAAGCTTCAGTGGTAGAATCACCTGTGCCTGGAGAAGTCGAGGCTGTGGTGAGCTGTGATTGCACCACTGCACTGCAGCCTAGGCAACAGAGCCAGACCTTGTCTCAAATAAAAAAAGAAAGAAAGAAAACATAGTTGATGGAGGAAAAGGCCAGCTGAGACCCACCAAACTACTATGAACAGATGAACAGGTCCTAGAGCACCATCAGGTAACCACCAATTTAGAAAAAGTTGTAAATGAAGGAGGGGAGGGGCGCAACTAACGCTACTGAAGAAAAACTGTCCCAGGCTCTGAATCTAAGCTGGCATCAGGAAAGGAGAGTCTAATTCCCAGGCACTTACTAGACTCACAGTCTCTCTCCATTTTGTTTTGTTTTGTTTTTTGAGCCAGGGACTCAGTCTATCACCCAGGCTAGAGTTTGGTAGTGCAATCTCAAACTCTTGGGCTCAAGTGATCTGCCTGCCTTGCCCTCTCAAAGTGTTGGGATTACAGGCATGAGCTACCATGCCTCGCCCCTCTCTCAGTTTAACAAGACTGTGGCTACTTGCTTCTCGAATAGAAAGGAATGTCAGGACTGGACATGGTGACTCACACCTGTAATCCTAGCACTTTGGGAGGCCGGAGCAACTTGATTGCTCAAGCTCAGGAGTTTGAGACCAGCCTGGGCAAGATGGTGAAACCCTGTCTCTACAAAAAATACAAAAATTAGCTAGGTGTGGTGTGCCTATAGTCCCAGCTATTTGGGGGGCTGAGGCAGGAGAATCACTTGAGCCTAGCAGGTGAAGGCTGCAGTGAGCTGTGCTGCTGCCACTGTACTCCAGCCAGGGCAATAAAATGAGACCCTGTCTCAAAAAAAAAAAAAGAAGCCAGACGCGGTGGCTCACGTTTATAATCACAGCACTTTGGGAGACCAAGGCAGGCGGATCACCTGAAGTCAGGAGTTTGAGACCAGCCTGGCCAACATGAAGAAACCCCATCTTTACTAAAAATACAAAAGTTAGCCGGTTGGGAGGCCGAGGCAGGCGGATCATAAGGTCAGGAGATCGAGACCATCCTGGCTAATACGGTGAAACTCTGTCTCTACTAAAAATACAAAAAAATTAGCCAGGCGTGGCAGCGTGCGCCTGTAGTCTCAGCTACTTGGGAGGCTGAGGCAGGAGGATGGTGTGAACCTGGGAGGTGGAGCTTGCAGTGAGCAGAGATCTTGCCACTGCACTCCAGCCTGGGCGACAGAGCGAGACTCTGTCTCAAAAAAAAAAAAAAAAAAATGTTAGCCAGGCGCAGTGGTGTGCGCCTATAGTACCAGCTACTTGGGAGGCTAAGGCAGGAGAATCACCTGAACCCAGGAGCTGAGATTGTGCCACTGCACTCCAGCCTGGGTGACAGAGTGAGAATCTGTCTCAAAAAAAAAAAAAAAAAAGAAAAAGAAAAAGAACGAAAGGAACATCAGGCAAATAAGATGCTGAGAGCCAGAAGATGGCCACTGGTGGCAGGGCAGGTGCCTTGCAACTGGAAGAAGATGGCCTGGATTTGAATCCTGCCTCTGCCATGAGCAAGTTACTTAGCTTCTCTCCAAATAATAAATAAATGAATAAAGGAGCCAGAAGGGAGTGTTTGGAGAAGAAAAGTGAAATGTAAATTAGCCTGAGCCCAGTCCTTAGTGCCAAATGGCCAGGATTCTCCACTGAAAGCTTCCGTAACTTCCGAACGTTTACTCTCCCTTCATTTCTTTGTAATTCCTTATAATTATTATCAGAGCCAAGAGCCCACCCTCCCTCCAGGTGACACACTCATGGTTTATTACCTGCAAGAATGTTACCATCTCATTGGAACAAGCTTCTAGGTTAATCCTCCGTACAGTCACATACTCTCCCGTTGGTTTGTACCTCGCTAGATTCACAGTCATCAGGTCCTCAAATCCTTTGCCTAAAAGAAAAGAGGAATGCCATACACAAGGACAAGAACAACAAAGGGTTTTTAAACATTTTTCCTTAAAAAAGGGACTTGATTTCAAAAGAAACTTAATGTTAAATTTTTCACTACTGTTACTTTTTTTTTTCCTTTTCCCAGCAGAATTTAACTGTTACGTTCATGGCTCACATTTCTTGATTTTTTTCCCATCAGTTCCTTCTCAGCCAACCTTTCTGACTCACTATGGCCAGGACACCAGAAACATGCAGCCACAAAGGAAAGATGGCAAAAGAGCTTCTCTCCTGGAAGTTTGATCTCTTCCCATACTCGGCAGGAAAAAACAGAGGAGACCCACAGAAGCAAGTCTGTGCCCATGAATCCTCCTAACTAGCGGAGAGCCTCTGCTGTACACACATCTGGGGCTGCTGAGAAAGCTGCAGCAGCCCCTGGAGCAGGAGAGCAGGAGAGTAAGGACGGTGCCTGCGCATACCTATCACAGTGAGCAGCTCGTAACACCCTCCCTCTGGCAGAAAGCTACTCATGACCTCCTGTTTAGAGAAGGATGCTATTGACTCTGAGCTCGCATCATTGGTCTAAAAAGGAAAAAAAAAAATAGGTTAGTAGAGAAAACTGGGGGTGGGATGGGAGTGTGGTGAAGGTGGTAATTCAGACCCACAAGGAGACTGGCATCCAAACACACACACAAATCCCGACTTGGTGCCAACACTATTTGAAGAGAAACAAAACATCACATTCAGTGTAGTAATCAGCACTAATATCAGAGCAAGTGTTAGGGCTGTCTATAAACGGGGAGACAAGGACCTGTTCCCATCAACCGTTAATCTGCTTGTCCTTTCCAATGATCAATGCATTTGCTAAAACCTATGAAATTCTCACTTGGAGAAGGGATGTCTAGAGAATAAAAGCATGTCGCGGCCGGGCGCGGTGGCTCAAGCCTGTAATCCCAGCACTTTGGGAGGCCGAGACGGGCGGATCACGAGGTCAGGAGATCGAGACCATCCTGGCTAACACAGTGAAACCCCGTCTCTACTAAAAATACAAAAACTTAGCCGGGCGAGGTGGCAGGCGCCTGTAGTCCCAGCTACTCGGGAGGCTGAGGCAGGAGAATGGCGTAAACCCGGGAGGCGGAGCTTGCAGTGAGCTGAGATCCGGCCACTGCACTCCAGCCTGGGCGACAGAGCGAGACTCCGTCTCAAAAAAAAAAAAAAAAAAGAGAATAAAAGCATGTCTGGAAAAGAGAAGCAGGTGGAGAGGTAGGGGTTCTCTTGAATTTCCTGATGCATTAGGATCCTAGTTTTAAGGTCCTGACCACAAGATCCCAAAAGGTCAAACACTGAATCTTGCTCTAGTGAAAATGTGGCCAGGAGTAGCCCCTCTTTAGCAAACCAAGAGCCCGGGCCAGTCATTGCCTGCATTTCCAGTGAAGTGGGAGAACCACTGATGCCCTGAGCTGCAGGCAAGGCACAGAGCTGTCAAGTCTCAGGCATCATCCAGGCAGTCGACGTGGCCTGCTCCCTTTTTCCTGCCCACGTGTGCTGTGAGTGAAGCTGGAGTCTAGCCATTTAGGATGTGTCACAACTCTGGCCTCTGAGGTCCTAGAGGAAGGTGTCCAACCATGTCTGAGTTTGTGCAAAACACACAGCAGACCAACAGCTCTTCTTTCAGGTTAATGGACTGTTTCCTTCTTCCAGACCTAAATTTATGTGTATGATTTAGGGACTGTGACTGCTTTTCTTTTTTTTTAGATTCTCTTTCTTTAGATGCACATCTAACTGAAACGGAGAAACCTGGGCCAGCTCATGTTTCATGTGCTGCACTCACAAACCTGACCTCCAGGCAGAAAAAGTCCTTTGTGAAAGTATGAGAGGCTCCTGGCCCAGCACTATCCAGAAGAGCACGAGCTGAGAGTGTTCTGACAAGGCGGTGCTTGAACAACTCTTTGGGAAGCGGCTCTGCAGAGGAAACCATAAAGATGACAGTGCTCTATACCTGTTAGATGACCAGGGTATACTTTTGCACATGATCTCCTCCATAGCTCAGTGAAGTAGCCGGGACAGATCTTATCTCCACTTTTCACTAACAAAAACGAGGGCCAAGGAGATTAAGTGACTTGCTAAAAATCAAAGCGTGAGTACACGGCACAGGACCCAGGCCCAAGCCAGTGAAATTAATCTGCCACCCTGTCGGCTGACATTTCACGTGTATCTGGTTTATTTGTTGATTTGTTGCTGTTGTTTTTAAGCGATGGGGTCTCTCTCTGTCGCTCAGGCTAAAGTGCAGTGGTGAGATCCTGGCTCACTGTGGCCTTGAACTCCTGGGCTCAATTGATCCTCCTGCCTCAGCCTTCCAAGTAGCTGCAATTACTGGCTGTACGTGGTTTCAAAATAGCTGATGCTGCTGATGCGGAAAGAAACCCCCAGGTGGGCTCTGTCTCCTTCACCACTTACCCTGACAATAAGAGGAACCTAGTCAAGCAAAATTAAGCCCTGTCACCAAATTCCATTTCTAATTTAATCAATGTTTATATTTCTAAGATTTGGCCAAATTGTTGTATTTCACTGTAGTTCACCCATTTTCACTGCTGTATAATATATTAATCACATGAATATATCTCAGTTTACCCATTCCAACATTGATGGGTCATTTGGATTGTTTTTCTGTTCTGCTGTTATGGACTGTGCTACTATAAACATGTTTGAATATGTCTCCTGACTAAAGCTTGTATTTAGGAGTGGATGGAATTGCTAGGTGACAAGAGTATATGAACAATCAACTTTATGAGACAACGCCAAATTATTTTCCAAAATGGTTATACCAATTTATACTCCCACCAGCGACGTACGTGTTTTTTGTTTTTGTTTTTAAGACGGAGTCTCACTCTGTCACCAGGCTGGAGTGCAGTGGCACGATCTCGGCTCAGTGCAACCTCCGCCTCCTGGGTCCAAGCGATTCTCCTGACTCAGCCTCCCAAGTAGCTGGGACCACCACGCCTGGCTAAGTTTTGTATTTTTTTGTAGAGATGGCGTTTTGCCATGTTGCCCAGCTGGTCTTGAACTCCTGACCTCAAGTGATCCACCCAGCTTGGCTCACAAAGTGCTAAGATTACAGGCATGAGCCACCGTGCCCAGCCACATGTGTTCTTATTATCTTTTCCCCAACATTGGTATTTTCAGATTTCTTAATTTTCGCCAGTCTCGTGGATTTGATTTACATTTCCCTGGTTACTAAGGAAGATAAGGATCTCTTCATACATTTATCAGTCGTGTGAGCTTTCTCCAAGATGAAAATGCCTCTTCCTGTCTCTTGCCCATTTTCCTATTGTTTCAGTGCAGGATTTCCCCAAAGTGGGCCCCACGGAACTCTGATTCTGCCAGTTGGATAGAAAAACTTTCCATGTCCAATGAAGTTAGGAAATGCAGCATACTCTCTCATGGAGGATCACAAAGTGTACGTCCATATTAAAGGCACTGAGAAATTCTGTAGTAAGAAAACTTATTAACTTTGTTTAACCTAGCATTTCCCAAAGAGATCTGTCTAGGGAACCTTCTGTGCCTAACATCTGCTGAATTTTGGGAAAGATAATTGGGAAAGGCTATTTTAAATAAAACATATGCTATAACGCAAAGAGCATAGGCTTATGGGCCATACAGAGGCAGAATTTGAACTCAGGTCTATTACTGGTTCTGTGACCCTGGGCAAGTCACTCTGATCTCTTGGAATCTCCATTATATCAGCAGCTGAGTAATTTCCATCTCACAGTGTTGTCTCTATTAGATGAGATAAAACATGTTAAGAGCTTAGTGCTACCTGGTGTATAAAAGACATTCAATACGTGTGAATCCTATTCTCCTACTCCTTCTATTGCTCTCTACTTTTTGGTGACTCTCCTGTTCAACAAATAAAATAGAAAAGAGAAAATAGAGGAAACAGAGATTCCTAAGCAGAGCTTGATCAGTAGTTAAAGTTGCTTTGATACTGGTTTTTATACTTATCTGTGTTTTCTAATGCTCTCAAAATAAATTCTAGGACCATTAAACTTTATTTTATTTATTTATTTTTGAGACAGAGTCTCGCTCTGTCACCCAGGCTGGAGTACAATGGCACGATCTCAGCTCACTATAGCCTCTGCCTTTTGGGTTCAAGCGATTCTCCTGCCTCAGCCTTCTAAGTAGCTGGAACTACAGGCGCGAGCCACCATGCCTGGCTAGGTTTTTTTTTTTTTTTAGACAGAGTCTCGCTCTGCTGCCCAGGCTGGAGTGCAGTAGTGGGATCTAGGCTCACTGCAACCTCTGCCTCCTGTGTTCAAGCGATTCTCCTCCCTTGGCCTCCCAAGTAGCTGGGATTACAGGTGCATGATACCACGCCTGGCTAATTTTTTGTATTTTTAGTAAAGACGGGGTTTCACTGTGTTGGCCAGGCTGGTCTCAAACTCCTGACCTCAGGTGATCCGCCCACCTCAGCCTCCCAAAGTGCTGGGATTACAGGTGTGAGTCACCACGCCCGGCAGATAGATACTTCATTATATCCCTTTTCCTTGTCAGGCATGCATATAAGCTTATAAGACATATTGTCTACTAGGCTATACACTAAGACACATTCTTGCTAAGCCTAGGTAGGGAATGATTCATTAAACTATCAATGTGCTTAACTAGTAACTTGACAAATATTTATTTCTATTCTCTAGCAGTACAGAAAACTACTAAAACTAACCCAAAAGTATTAGTTTTAGAAAATAAAATTCTTTTTTTTTTTTTTTTGAGACAGGGTCTCACTCTGTCACCCAGGCTGGAGTACAGTGGCATGATCATAGCTCACTACAGCCTCGAACTCTGGGGCTCAAGCAGATCCTCCCACCTCAGCCTCCCAGGTATATGCCACCATGCCAGGCTAATCTTTTTTTTTTTTTCAGTTAGGGACAGAGCCTCACTCTGTCTCCCAGGCTGGAGTGCAATGGCACTATCCTAGCTCACTGCAGCCTTGAACTCCTGGGCTTAAGGGATTTTCCTGCCTTATCCTCCTGGGTAGGTAGGACTACCAGTGTACGCCACCATGCCTGGCTAGTTTTTTTGTTTTTAGAGATGGGGTCTCACTGTGTTGCCCAGGCTGGCCTCCAATTCCTGGCCTCAAATCATCCTCCTGCCTCAGCCTCCCAAAGTGCTAGGTTTACAGGTGTGAGCCACCACACCTGGCCTTTAGAAAATAAAGTTCTGGGGGCCGGACATGGTGGCTCACACCTGTAATCCCAGCACTCTGGGAGGCCAAGGCAGGCAGATCAGGAGATCGAGCCCATCCTGGCCAACACGGTGAAACCCCGTCTCTACTAAAAATATAAAAAATTAGTCAGGTATAGCAGCAGGTGCCTGTAGTCCCAGCTACTCGGGAGGCTGAGGCAGGAGAATGGCGTGAACTCGGGAGGCGGAGCTTGCAATAAGCTGAGATCGCGCCACTGCACTCCAGCCTGGGCGACAGAGCGACACTCCGTTTCAAAAAAATAATAAGAAAAGAAAAGAAAAGAAAGAAGGAAGAAAGAAAGGAAGGAAGGAAGGAAGGAAGGAAGGAAGGAAGGAAGGAA